CGTCGAGATCCCCAGTTTTGGAGGCTAACAAGTTCCGACGCCGTTGCGCGTAGTTCTATTGTGCTTGCAACTCAGTCTCTGCAGATCGCATTGTAATGGCTGCGTCAAGGTTGCTTCGTGCTGTGGCTGCATTGGTAATACTATTGTCTTTTGCAGCTGGATCTCGGAAATCGTCTTGGAGTGGCTGCATGAAGGCTGCGAAATGGATTTGTTAGCAGATTTTCTCCATTTTGGCACTAGTGTTTTTTTTGGTTGGACGTACGTTTAGAGCAGTGTGAAGTGTGGGGCGTGAAGAGTGCAGTGTGAAGTGTGAAGTGTGAAGGAAGCAGTGGGAAGTGAGAAGTGTGAAGTGTGGAGTGTGAAGAGCGCAGTGTGAAGTGTGAAGTGTGAGGTTTGGAGTGTGAAGGAAGCAGTGAGAAGTGAGAAGTGTGAAGTGTGGACTGTGAAGTGTGAAGTGTGAAGTGTGGAGTGTGAAGTTTCAGTTTGGAGTGCGAAGAGCGCAGTGTGAAGTGTGAAGTGTGAAGTGTGAGGTTTGGAGTGTGAAGGAAGCAGTGAGAAGTGTGAAGTCTGAAGTGTGAGTGAAGTGTGGAGTGTGAAGTGCGAAGTGAGAAGTGTGAAGTGTGAAGTTTGGAGTGTGAAGTTTGGAGTGGGAAGGAAGCAGTGAGAAGTGAGAAGTGTGAAGTGTGGACTGTGAAGTGTGGAGTGTGAAGTGCGAAGTGAAAAGTGAGAAGCGTGGACTGTGAAGTGTGGAGTGTGAAGTGCGAAGTGAGAAGTGTGAAGTTTGGAGTGTGAAGGAAGCAGTGAGAAGTGAGAAGTGTGAAGTGAGAAGTGTGAAGTGTGGACTGTGAAGTGTGGAGCGTGAAGTGCGAAGTGAGAAGTGTGAAGTGTGAAGTTTGGAGTGTGAAGGAAGCAGTGAGAAGTGAGAAGTGTGAAATGTGGAGTGTGAAGTGTGAAGTGCGAAGTGAGAAGTGTGGACTGTGAAGTGTGAAGTGTGGACTGTGAAGTGTGAAGTGTGAAGTGATTGTGAAGTGTGCAGTGTGAAGTGTGAAGTGTGAGGTTTGGAGTGTGAAGGACGCAGTGAGAAGTGAGAAGTGTGGAGTGTGAAGTGTGGAGTGTGAAGTTTGAAGTTTGGAGTGCGAAGAGTGCAGTGTGCAGTGTGAGGTGTGGAGTGTCGAGGGAAGGACACGGTCGGGTCATTTATGTTTGGGAAACTTCCACCGCCAGCTTGCCCGGGTCTATGTTATATTTTGATATATCTTGATATTACTCTGTCAAACAAGTCATCACCACATTGGAAGCTCCTGTTTACAGTACAGATTCAATAATATAGCTCTATTTCTTAATATATGTCGATATATTTTGACCTGACCTTGATATAATACATACATATATATATATATAATATATTATATATTATATATACATCCCGATATACATGATATATTAAATACGTTTTGAGAGATCCATCTCAGGTACTGCTATGATGACTATTCATTGGATGAGGCTGCGGCCTCGTACTACTCACCTTACAAGTTGAAGGCGAGCATGGCAGGTCGCCCTGAAATGTCCACCAGTTGTTCCTTCGGAATGATGGCCGGCCTCAGCAGGGTTGGCTTGACGGATAGCCCCTGCGCGAGCATCTTGGTGGGTGAGCAGGGCACAAAGGCCAAGAATGCGGCCAGGCATCAAAATCATCAAAGTGGGAAGAGATTGGGAAAAGTGTGGAAAAGGTATTGAATGTGCGCAGAATGAATTTCAATGGTGGGGCGCACTGGGGAAAATACAAGCAGATACACGTAGAACGTAGAATGGGAATGAATGAGATAGAAATCGGTAGAGGTGAGGCAAGGAGAGGCGAAGGAGATTCCTGTGTGCCCTCAGGCCCTGAGCGTGCTTAGATGATCTAAGATGTCTAAGATGTGCCAAGGTCCTCATTGAGCAGATCACGAACCACTGGTGCCCAGGAATTTGGCACGAAGCAATGGACAAAGGCGCAACTTGCTCAGCCGATCGATTCCCTAGTTGGGCCAAGCATGGCTTTGTCCAGGACGAGGACGAAGAAGGCATTGTGGAGCGTGCCGAATATCTCGTGAGGGGCATCGGAGGGGAGACTAAGGAGGATTTGATGGACTCCCGAACTGCCAAGATGGGCTTGCCTGAAGGTGCCTTGGAAGTTCAAGATTGTCATAGATTGTCATAGATTGTCATAGATTGTCATAGATTGTCCAGATTCATGCAATTTATATCAATTTATATCAATTTATATGCAGATCATTGATCAGCATTGCAGAATATTGCAGATCTGTGAAGAATTGCGTTGATCATTTTAGAATACTTTAGATAGGCCGGGAAGGGCCATGATATGCCATGATGCGTCCCATTTTTCCACGGTGTTTTTGGAGATGCATTGTTTCAGCCGCTGTCTCTGTCTTGAGGTGTTTGTGAAAACATTGAAGATGAGCTCTTTGATGGAATACTTTCAGGCAAAGGAGATGAGGCACCTGACTTCTTCAGGGATGCCATGGTGAAATAGGATGAAATAGGGGCATCCACTAGCCGCTAGCCATCGCTAGCCATCCTGCGCTCCGTTGCTGAGATGGCAGTTGTCAATTGATTTCCTTTAGATAGAGCCAAGTTCGTCTCGGCCAAGCTCAGCCGAAATCGCAGCGGCTTCAAGTTCCAGAAAAAATGTTCAGTTTCGCTTATGCCTTGACGTTTGCAAGCTTGATCAAACTTCTTCAGTGTAAGTGTGTGTGTGTGTGTCCTTTGTTTTTGTGAGAGATCGTCAATTTGAGTTTGTTGGACATATATAGTTGGAGAAATCGTAGGAGGCGTGCCTCAATTGTGTCTCAGTGATTCTTAGTGTTACCATGCCATGTCTCCACAGATTGGAGTAGCGCTGTAGAATGCCCAAAGATGCCCAAAGTTAATGCGTGCCGCGCAAAGACCCAGCTGATGATTTGTTACAAGTTCATCAGCAAAGATTTGCTCAACAGACTCAAGAAAAGTGGGGTTGATTCAGTTGATTCCTTCAGATGTCATTGGATCCAATCATTTGAGCGTCGCTGTCTTGGAAGCCTTATGAAGCCTTGCACAGAGTCGGGCTCGTCGGGTTCTACAGGAGACATGTCACAAATGAATATACATGAGTCAGAAAGCAATTTTGCAGGCCACCTACGTCCACCTTGAATGACGTTCATATGAACGCTTCGTCTTTACATTTCCCGATGAACACTCGCAGAAGTTTTGAGGCCCATAATTTATCAGAAGCATTTGCCCGACCCTGACCCTTTCAACTGCTGTTTTTGTTGTTGAAAGTTCATGAAAGTTCTACAGTATTTCGCTGTCCGCTAAACATACTAAACTTAAAAGTACTTCAAAAGCGTTGTTTGAATTTGTTGGGCAGTCGTGGTGCAGGCTGTGCTCTGGTGTTCAGGAGGCTGGGCTGCTCAGGGTGCGTGCAGTTCTGTGCCCTGAATTTACCGGGGTGGTCTTGCTTGACTTGGCAAGAGATTGATATATGGACCATGGATTATATATATAAAAGCATGTTAAAACGATTTTAAACGGTTATTGAATAAATTTGAATACCAACTCGGCTTGGGTCAAAGTCAAACACAATTTCTCCATCACATTCTTGTGGTCTTACCAAAGCGTAAGCAGCATTGCTAGCCTCAAGTCTTCGAAGATTGTCAAATCTCAGCCGAGTTCGTCCCTGCGCCATGCTGTCTCAGCTTGCCGTCCTTGCTGTCCTCTTCGCTTCGGGAGATTGCTTCCGCGCTTCTACGGATTTGAAGGACCAGGAGTGTCAAGAGAGTCAGACCAATCCTGAATACTTCAGTGAATTGAGGAGCAACGCTTTCATCACGGAGTGCAGCAAGAAGGACGTGTGTTTACTGATGCGTCAGCTGGATGCTTACTTCTACGCCCGTGCACTCAAGGGTGAGTTGGTGGACTATGGAAAACCTCCAGGAGGCAGATTTCTGGCCAGTGGGAATTGCAAACGACCTCTGAACTCCAAGAAATTGGTTCCAGTGACTACCAAGGAAGAATGCCAAAAAATCCTTTCCAAACATACCAAGAAGAAGATGAAGGTCATCCACTCCACCAAGTACCCTGCGGGTTGCATCATGGATTTTGTCACGAAACGCGGTCGTTTCAACAAAGCCGACACCAACGTCGATGCGGGGGTCAAGTACATTCGGGTTGGCAAATCTCGCATTTCTGCACAGCGAAAGAAGACGGACGTCCGGCAGTATCTTGATATATCTTAAATATTCTTAAATTATCTTAATATATTTTGATATATCTTGATATTACTCTGTCAAACAAGTCATCACCACATTGGAAGCTCCTGTTTACAGTACAGATTCAATAATATAGCTCTATTTCTACATATATGTCGATATATCTTGACCTGACCTTGATAAAATACATACATATATCATATTATATATTATATATACATGATATATTAAATACGTCTTGAGAGATCCATCTGAGGTACTGCTATGATGACTATTCATTGGATGAGGCTGCGGCCTCGTACTACTCACCTTACAAGTTGAAGGCAAGCATGGCAGGTCGCCCTGAAATGTCCACCAGTTGTTCCTTCGGAATGATGGCCGGCCTCAGCAGGGTTGGCTTGACCGATAGCCCCTGCGCGAGCATCTTGGTGGGTGAGCAGGGCACAAAGGCCAAGAATGCGGCCAGGCATCAAAATCATCAAAGTGGGAAGAGATTGGGAAAAGTGTGGAAAAGGTATTGAATGTGCGCAGAATGAATTTCAATGGCGGGGCGCACTGGGGAAAATACAAGCAGATACACGTAGAACGTAGAATGGGAATGAATGAGATGGAAATTTGTAGAGGTGAGGCAAGGAGAGGCGAAGGAGATTCCTGTGTGCCCTGAGCGTGCTTAGATGATCTAAGATGTCTAAGATGTGCCAAGGTCCTCATTGAGCAGATCACGAACCACTGGTGCCCAGGAATTTGGCACGAAGCAATGGACAAAGGCGCAACTTGCTCAGCCGATCGATTCCCTAGTTGGGCCAAGCATGGCTTTGTCCAGGACGAGGACGAAGAAGGCATTGTGGAGCGTGCCGAATATCTCGTGAGGGGCATCGGAGGGGAGACTAAGGAGGATTTGATGGACTCCCGAACTGCCAAGATGGGCTTGCCTGAAGGTGCCTTGGAAGTTCAAGATTGTCATAGATTGTCATAGATTGTCATAGATTGTCATAGATTGTCCAGATTCATGCAATTTATATCAATTTATATCAATTTATATCAATTTATATGCAGATCATTGATCAGCATTGCAGAATATTGCAGATCTGTGAAGAATTGCGTTGATCATTTTAGAATACTTTAGATAGGCCGGGAAGGGCCATGATATGCCATGATGCGTCCCATTTTTCCACGGTGTTTTTGGAGATGCATTGTTTCAGCCGCTGTCTCTGTCTTGAGGTGTTTGTGAAAACATTGAAGATGAGCTCTTTGATGGAATACTTTCAGGCAAAGGAGATGAGGCACCTGACTTCTTCAGGGATGCCATGGTGAAATAGGATGAAATAGGGGCATCCACTAGCCGCTAGCCATCGCTAGCCATCCTGCGCTCCGTTGCTGAGATGGCAGTTGTCAATTGATTTCCTTTAGATAGAGCCAAGTTCGTCTCGGCCAAGCTCAGCCGAAATCGCAGCGGCTTCAAGCTCCAGAAAAATGATTCAGTTTCGCTTATGCCTTGACGTTTGCAAGCTCGATCAAACTTCTTCAGTGTAAGTGTGTGTGTGTGTCCTTTGTTTTTGTGAGAGATCGTCAATTTGAGTTTGTTGGACATATATAGTTGGAGAAATCGTAGGAGGCGTGCCTCAATTGTGTCTCAGTGATTCTTAGTGTTACCATGCCATGTCTCCACAGATTGGAGTAGCGCTGTAGAATGCCCAAAGATGCCCAAAGTTAATGCGTGCCGCGCAAAGACCCAGCTGATGATTTGTTACAAGTTCATCAGCAAAGATTTGCTCAACAGACTCAAGAAAAGTGGGGTTGATTCAGTTGATTCCTTCAGATGTCATTGGATCCAATCATTTGAGCGTCGCTGTCTTGGAAGCCTTATGAAGCCTTGCACAGAGTCGGGCTCGTCGGGTTCTACAGGAGACATGTCACAAATGAATATACATGAGTCAGAAAGCAATTTTGCAGGCCACCTACGTCCACCTTGAATGACGTTCATATGAACGCTTCGTCTTTACATTTCCCGATGAACACTCGCAGAAGTTTTGAGGCCCATAATTTATCAGAAGCATTTGCCCGACCCTGACCCTTTCAACTGCTGTTTTTGTTGTTGAAAGTTCATGAAAGTTCTACAGTATTTCGCTGTCCGCTAAACATACTAAACTTAAAAGTACTTCAAAAGCGTTGTTTGAATTTGTTGGGCAGTCGTGGTGCAGGCTGTGCTCTGGTGTTCAGGAGGCTGGGCTGCTCAGGGTGCGTGCAGTTCTGTGCCCTGAATTTACCGGGGTGGTCTTGCTTGACTTGGCAAGAGATTGATATATGGACCATGGATTATATATATAAAAGCATGTTAAAAACGATTTTAAACGGTTATTGAATAAATTTGAATACCAACTCGGCTTGGGTCAAAGTCAAACACAATTTCTCCATCACATTCTTGTGGTCTTACCAAAGCGTAAGCAGCATTGCTAGCCTCAAGTCTTCGAAGATTGTCAAATCTCAGCCGAGTTCGTCCCTGCGCCATGCTGTCTCAGCTTGCCGTCCTTGCTGTCCTCTTCGCTTCGGGAGATTGCTTCCGCGCTTCGACGGATTTGAAGGACCAGGAGTGTCAAGAGAGTCAGACCAATCCTGAATACTTCAGTGAATTGAGGAGCAACGCTTTCATCACGGAGTGCAGCAAGAAGGACGTGTGTTTACTGATGCGTCAGCTGGATGCTTACTTCTACGCCCGTGCACTCAAGGGTGAGTTGGTGGACTATGGAAAACCTCCAGGAGGCAGATTTCTGGCCAGTGGGAATTGCAAACGACCTCTGGGAATTGCAAACGACCTCTGAACTCCAAGAAATTGGTTCCAGTGACTACCAAGGAAGAATGCCAAAAAATCCTTTCCAAACATACCAAGAAGAAGATGAAGGTCATCCACTCCACCAAGTACCCTGCGGGTTGCATCATGGATTTTGTCACGAAACGCGGTCGTTTCAACAAAGCCGACACCAACGTCGACGCGGGGGTCAAGTACATTCGGGTTGGCAAATCTCGCATTTCTGCACAGCGAAAGAAGACGGACGTCCGGCAGTATCTTGATATATCTTAAATATTCTTAAATTATCTTAATATATTTTGATATATCTTGATATTACTCTGTCAAACAAGTCATCACCACATTGGAAGCTCCTGTTTACAGTACAGATTCAATAATATAGCTCTATTTCTACATATATGTCGATATATCTTGACCTGACCTTGATAAAATACATACATATATCATATTATATATTATATATACATGATATATTAAATACGTCTTGAGAGATCCATCTGAGGTACTGCTATGATGACTATTCATTGGATGAGGCTGCGGCCTCGTACTACTCACCTTACAAGTTGAAGGCAAGCATGGCAGGTCGCCCTGAAATGTCCACCAGTTGTTCCTTCGGAATGATGGCCGGCCTCAGCAGGGTTGGCTTGACCGATAGCCCCTGCGCGAGCATCTTGGTGGGTGAGCAGGGCACAAAGGCCAAGAATGCGGCCAGGCATCAAAATCATCAAAGTGGGAAGAGATTGGGAAAAGTGTGGAAAAGGTATTGAATGTGCGCAGAATGAATTTCAATGGTGGGGCGCACTGGGGAAAATACAAGCAGATACACGTAGAACGTAGAATGGGAATGAATGAGATAGAAATCGGTAGAGGTGAGGCAAGGAGAGGCGAAGGAGATTCCTGTGTGCCCTCAGGCCCTGAGCGTGCTTAGATGATCTAAGATGTCTAAGATGTGCCAAGGTCCTCATTGAGCAGATCACGAACCACTGGTGCCCAGGAATTTGGCACGAAGCAATGGACAAAGGCGCAACTTGCTCAGCCGATCGATTCCCTAGTTGGGCCAAGCATGGCTTTGTCCAGGACGAGGACGAAGAAGGCATTGTGGAGCGTGCCGAATATCTCGTGAGGGGCATCGGAGGGGAGACTAAGGAGGATTTGATGGACTCCCGAACTGCCAAGATGGGCTTGCCTGAAGGTGCCTTGGAAGTTCAAGATTGTCATAGATTGTCATAGATTGTCATAGATTGTCATAGATTGTCCAGATTCATGCAATATCAATTTATATCAATTTATCGAAGGTAGTTTAGAAGTCAAACTTCCGACAATATGGACAGATGAAGAGCAGAGCAGGGCAGAGGCAGAGAGAAGAGGAAGATTAGAAGAGAGAAGATCAGAAGAGAAAGAGTAAGAAGAAAGAAGATGCAGATGCGCGAAAAGGTAGGAAAGTCGCGAAACACTGTGTTTTTCCAATGATTTGTGGCTCCGGAGGGTCGAAAAGTAGGCTTGCTAAAGCGGCGGGTGCGGAGCCAGCTGGCCAGACGAGAGATGAAAAATTGCACGCCGTTGTGGCGCGAAGCACATTTCCAAGTCAAAATGTACAAAGCACACCATGGTCGGAGCACTTTTGGAAGTTGAGATGTCAAAAAAGTGCACGCCGTTGTGGCGCGAAGCACATTTCCAAGTCAAAATGTACAAAACACCTCAGCGTCGGACCGCTTTTGGAAGTTGAGATGTCAAAAAAGTGCACGCCGTTGTGGCGCGAAGCACATTTCCAAGTCAAAAGTGTTAAAAACTGACGGTCTCGGACCACTTTTGGAGGTTCAGATGTCGAAAAAGTGTCGAAAAAGTGCACGCCGTTGTGGCGCGAAGCACATTTCGAAGTCAAAAGTGTAAAAAACTGAGGGTTTTGAGCCTTTTTTGACGTGAAGATGTCGAAAAAGTAGACACTGATTAACTTAACTAACTTGACTAACTTAACTAACTTCACTAACTTAACTACCCTAACCTCGACGACAACAGCAACAGCAACAACAACAACAACACCAACCACAACAACTACAACTACAACAACAATAGATCGATAGATGGAGAGATAGATAGATAGATAGATCGATCGATAGATAGATAGATAGATAGTCAGACAGGTAGACAGCTAGACAGATAGACAGATGAAAGAGAGAGAGAGAGAGAGATAGATAGATAGATGGATAGATAGATAGATAGGTAGATAGGTAGGTAGATAGGTAGATAGGTAGATAGGTAATTAGATGAAAGAGAGAAAGAGAGAGATAGAAAGATCGATAGATAGATAGATACATAGAAGATAGGCTGGTAGGTAAGTAGATAGTCAGAGAAAGAGAAAGAGAAAGAGAGGAGACCTCAAGCACCTTTCGGTCCATCAGTGGCTTCGCTCTGCCATCCCTCATTCACAACAACCAAGCTCTCCTATAGGTTTCCTATTTTTGAAACTTCCGCCACCGCCTTGTGCGGTACTACTGGTATCAATTCATATGCAGATCATTGATCAGCATTGCAGAATATTGCAGATCTGTGAAGAGTTGTGTTGATCATTTTAGAATACTTTAGATAGGCCGGGAAGGGCCATGATATGCCATGATGCGTCCCATTTTTCCACGGTGTTTTTGGAGATGCATTGTTTCAGCCGCTGTCTCTGTCTTGAGGTGTTTGTGAAAACATTGAAGATGAGCTCTTTGATGGAATACTTTCAGGCAAAGGAGATGAGGCACCTGACTTCTTCAGGGATGCCATGGTGAAATAGGATGAAATAGGGGCATCCACTAGCCGCTAGCCATCGCTAGCCATCCTGCGCTCCGTTGCTGAGATGGCAGTTGTCAATTGATTTCCTTTAGATAGAGCCAAGTTCGTCTCGGCCAAGCTCAGCCGAAATCGCAGCGGCTTCAAGCTCCAGAAAAATGATTCAGTTTCGCTTATGCCTTGACGTTTGCAAGCTTGATCAAACTTCTTCAGTGTAAGTGTGTGTGTGTCCTTTGTTTTTGTGAGAGATCGTCAATTTGAGTTTGTTGGACATATATAGTTGGAGAAATCGTAGGAGGCGTGCCTCAATTGTGTCTCAGTGATTCTTAGTGTTACCATGCCATGTCTCCACAGATTGGAGTAGCGCTGTAGAATGCCCAAAGATGCCCAAAGTTAATGCGTGCCGCGCAAAGACCCAGCTGATGATTTGTTACAAGTTCATCAGCAAAGATTTGCTCAACAGACTCAAGAAAAGTGGGGTTGATTCAGTTGATTCCTTCAGATGTCATTGGATCCAATCATTTGAGCGTCGCTGTCTTGGAAGCCTTATGAAGCCTTGCACAGAGTCGGGCTCGTCGGGTTCTACAGGAGACATGTCACAAATGAATATACATGAGTCAGAAAGCAATTTTGCAGGCCACCTACGTCCACCTACTGATGAATGACGAAATGATGAAATGATGAACGCATATGAACGCTTCGTCTTTACATTTCCCGATGAACACTCGCAGAAGTTTTGAGGCCCATAATTTATCAGAAGCATTTGCCTGACCCTTTCAATTGTTTTTGTTGTTGAAAGTTCATGAAAGTTCTATTTCGCTGTCCGCTAAACATACTAAACTTAAAAGTACTTCAAAAGCGTTGTTTGAATTTGTTAGGCAGTCGTGGTGCAGGCTGTGCTCTGGTGTTCAGGAGGCTGGACTGCTCAGGGTGCGTGCAGTTCTGTGCCCTGAATTTACCGGGGTGGTCTTGCTTGACTTGGCAAGAGATTGATATATGGACCATGGATTATATATATATATGTATAAAAGCATGTTAAAACGATTTTAAACGGTTATTGAATAAATTTGAATACCAACTCGGCTTGGGTCAAAGTCAAACACAATTTCTCCATCACATTCTTGTGGTCTTACCAAAGCGTAAGCAGCATTGCTAGCCTCAAGTCTTCGAAGATTGTCAAATCTCAGCCGAGTTCGTCCCTGCGCCATGCTGTCTCAGCTTGCCGTCCTTGCTGTCCTCTTCGCTTCGGGAGATTGCTTCCGCGCTTCGACGGATTTGAAGGACCAGGAGTGTCAAGAGAGTCAGACCAATCCTGAATACTTCAGTGAATTGAGGAGCAACGCTTTCATCACGGAGTGCAGCAAGAAGGACGTGTGTTTACTGATGCGTCAGCTGGATGCTTACTTCTACGCCCGTGCACTCAAGGGTGAGTTGGTGGACTATGGAAAACCGCCAGGAGGCAGATTTCTGGCCAGTGGGAATTGCAAACGACCTCTGAACTCCAAGAAATTGGTTCCAGTGACTACCAAGGAAGAATGCCAAAAAATCCTTTCCAAACATACCAAGAAGAAGATGAAGGTCATCCACTCCACCAAGTACCCTGCGGGTTGCATCATGGATTTTGTCACGAAACGCGGTCGTTTCAACAAAGCCGACACCAACGTCGATGCGGGGGTCAAGTACATTCGGGTTGGCAAATCTCGCATTTCTGCACAGCGAAAGAAGACGGACGTCCGGCAGTATCTTGATATATCTTAAATATTCTTAAATTATCTTAATATATTTTTGATATATCTTGATATTACTCTGTCAAACAAGTCATCACCACATTGGAAGCTCCTGTTTACAGTACAGAATCAATAATATAGTTCTATTTCTCAATATATGTCGATATATCTTGACCTGACCTTGATATAATACATGCATATATCATACTGGTATTATATATATATATACATACATGATATATTAAATACGTCTTGAGAGATCCATCTGAGGTACTGCTATGATGACTATTCATTGGATGAGGCTGCGGCCTCGTACTACTCACCTTACAAGTTGAAGGCGAGCATGGCAGGTCGCCCTGAAATGTCCACCAGTTGTTCCTTCGGAATGATGGCCGGCCTCAGCAGGGTTGGCTTGACGGATAGCCCCTGCGCGAGCATCTTGGTGGGTGAGCAGGGCACAAAGGCCAAGAATGCGGCCAGGCATCAAAATCATCAAAGTGGGAAGAGATTGGGAAAAGTGTGGAAAAGGTATTGAATGTGCGCAGAATGAATTTCAATGGTGGGGCGCACTGGGGAAAATACAAGCAGATACACGTAGAACGTAGAATGGGAATGAATGAGATAGAAATCGGTAGAGGTGAGGCAAGGAGAGGCGAAGGAGATTCCTGTGTGCCCTCAGGCCCTGAGCGTGCTTAGATGATCTAAGATGTCTAAGATGTGCCAAGGTCCTCATTGAGCAGATCACGAACCACTGGTGCCCAGGAATTTGGCACGAAGCAATGGACAAAGGCGCAACTTGCTCAGCCGATCGATTCCCTAGTTGGGCCAAGCATGGCTTTGTCCAGGACGAGGACGAAGAAGGCATTGTGGAGCGTGCCGAATATCTCGTGAGGGGCATCGGAGGGGAGACTAAGGAGGATTTGATGGACTCCCGAACTGCCAAGATGGGCTTGCCTGAAGGTGCCTTGGAAGTTCAAGATTGTCATAGATTGTCATAGATTGTCCAGATTCATGCAATTTATATCAATTTATATCAATTTATATGCAGATCATTGATCAGCATTGCAGAATATTGCAGATCTGTGAAGAGTTGTGTTGATCATTTTAGAATACTTTAGATAGGCCGGGAAGGGCCATGATATGCCATGATGCGTCCCATTTTTCCACGGTGTTTTTGGAGATGCATTGTTTCAGCCGCTGTCTCTGTCTTGAGGTGTTTGTGAAAACATTGAAGATGAGCTCTTTGATGGAATACTTTCAGGCAAAGGAGATGAGGCACCTGACTTCTTCAGGGATGCCATGGTGAAATAGGATGAAATAGGGGCATCCACTAGCCGCTAGCCATCGCTAGCCATCCTGCGCTCCGTTGCTGAGATGGCAGTTGTCAATTGATTTCCTTTAGATAGAGCCAAGTTCGTCTCGGCCAAGCTCAGCCGAAATCGCAGCGGCTTCAAGCTCCAGAAAAATGATTCAGTTTCGCTTATGCCTTGACGTTTGCAAGCTTGATCAAACTTCTTCAGTGTAAGTGTGTGTGTGTGTCCTTTGTTTTTGTGAGAGATCGTCAATTTGAGTTTGTTGGACATATATAGTTGGAGAAATCGTAGGAGGCGTGCCTCAATTGTGTCTCAGTGATTCTTAGTGTTACCATGCCATGTCTCCACAGATTGGAGTAGCGCTGTAGAATGCCCAAAGATGCCCAAAGTTAATGCGTGCCGCGCAAAGACCCAGCTGATGATTTGTTACAAGTTCATCAGCAAAGATTTGCTCAACAGACTCAAGAAAAGTGGGGTTGATTCAGTTGATTCCTTCAGATGTCATTGGATCCAATCATTTGAGCGTCGCTGTCTTGGAAGCCTTATGAAGCCTTGCACAGAGTCGGGCTCGTCGGGTTCTACAGGAGACATGTCACAAATGAATATACATGAGTCAGAAAGCAATTTTGCAGGCCACCTACGTCCACCTTGAATGACGAAATGATGAAATGATGAACGCACATGAACGCATATGAACGCATATGAACGCATATGAACGCTTCGTCTTTACATTTCCCGATGAACACTCGCAGAAGTTTTGAAGCCCATAATTTATCAGAAGCATTTGCCCGACCCTGACCCTTTCAACTGCTGTTTTTGTTGTTGAAAGTTCATGAAAGTTCTACAGTATTTCGCTGTCCGCTAAACATACTAAACTTAAAAGTACTTCAAAAGCGTTGTTTGAATTTGTTGGGCAGTCGTGGTGCAGGCTGTGCTCTGGTGTTCAGGAGGCTGGACTGCTCAGGGTGCGTGCAGTTCTGTGCCCTGAATTTACCGGGGTGGTCTTGCTTGACTTGGCAAGAGATTGATATATGGACCATGGATTATATATATGTATATAATATATAAAAACTATAAAAGCATGTTAAAACGATTTTAAACGGTTATTGAATAAATTTGAATACCAACTCGGCTTGGGTCAAAGTCAAACACAATTTCTCCATCACATTCTTGTGGTCTTACCAAAGCGTAAGCAGCATTGCTAGCCTCAAGTCTTCGAAGATTGTCAAATCTCAGCCGAGTTCGTCCCTGCGCCATGCTGTCTCAGCTTGCCGTCCTTGCTGTCCTCTTCGCTTCGGGAGATTGCTTCCGCGCTTCTACGGATTTGAAGGACCAGGAGTGTCAAGAGAGTCAGACCAATCCTGAATACTTCAGTGAATTGAGGAGCAACGCTTTCATCACGGAGTGCAGCAAGAAGGACGTGTGTTTACTGATGCGTCAGCTGGATGCTTACTTCTACGCCCGTGCACTCAAGGGTGAGTTGGTGGACTATGGAAAACCTCCAGGAGGCAGATTTCTGGCCAGTGGGAATTGCAAACGACCTCTGAACTCCAAGAAATTGGTTCCAGTGACTACCAAGGAAGAATGCCAAAAAATCCTTTCCAAACATACCAAGAAGAAGATGAAGGTCATCCACTCCACCAAGTACCCTGCGGGTTGCATCATGGATTTTGTCACGAAACGCGGTCGTTTCAACAAAGCCGACACCAACGTCGACGCGGGGGTCAAGTACATTCGGGTTGGCAAATCTCGCATTTCTGCACAGCGAAAGAAGACGGACGTCCGGCAGTATCTTGATATATCTTAAATATTCTTAAATTATCTTAATATATTTTGATATATCTTGATCTTACTCTGTCAAACAAGTCATCACCACATTGGCAGCTCCTGTTTACAGTACAGATTCAATAAAATAGCTCTTATTGTATCTTATTGTTAATATATGTCGATATTTCTTGACCTGACCTTGATATAATACATACATATATCATATTAGATATATATACATGATATATTAAATACGTTTTGAGAGATCCATCTCAGGTACTGCTATGATGACTATTCATTGGATGAGGCTGCGGCCTCGTACTACTCACCTTACAAGTTGAAGGCGAGCATGGCAGGTCGCCCTGAAATGTCCACCAGTTGTTCCTTCGGAATGATGGCCGGCCTCAGCAGGGTTGGCTTGACCGATAGCCCCTGCGCGAGCATCTTGGTGGGTGAGCAGGGCACAAAGGCCAAGAATGCGGCCAGGCATCAAAATCATCAAAGTGGGAAGAGATTGGGAAAAGTGTGGAAAAGGTATTGAATGTGCGCAGAATGAATTTCAATGGTGGGGCGCACTGGGGAAAATACAAGCAGATACACGTAGAACGTAGAATGGGAATGAATGAGATAGAAATCGGTTGAGGCGAGGAGAGGCGAAGGAGATTCCTGTGTGCCCTGAGCGTGCTTAGATGATCTAAGATGTGCTAAGATGTGCTAAGATGTGCCAAGGTCCTCATTGAGCAGATCACGAACCACTGGTGCCCAGGAATTTGGCACGAAGCAATGGACAAAGGCGCAACTTGCTCAGCCGATCGATTCCCTAGTTGGGCCAAGCATGGCTTTGTCCAGGACGAGGACGAAGAAGGCATTGTGGAGCGTGCCGAATATCTCGTGAGGGGCATCGGAGGGGAGACTAAGGAGGATTTGATGGACTCCCGAACTGCCAAGATGGGCTTGCCTGAAGGTGCCTTGGAAGTTCAAGATTGTCATAGATTGTCATAGATTGTCCAGATTCATGCAATTTATATCAATTTATATGCAGATCATTGATCAGCATTGCAGAATATTGCAGATCTGTGAAGAATTGCGTTGATCATTTTAGAATACTTTAGATAGGCCGGGAAGGGCCATGATATGCCATGATGCGTCCCATTTTTCCACGGTGTTTTTGGAGATCCATTGTTTCAGCCGCTGTCTCTGTCTTGAGGTGTTTGTGAAAACATTGAAGATGAGCTCTTTGGTGGAATACTTTCAGGCAAAGGAGATGAGGCACCTGACTTCTTCAGGGATGCCATGGTGAAATAGGATGAAATAGGGGCATCCACTAGCCGCTAGCCATCGCTAGCCATCCTGCGCTCCGTTGCTGAGATGGCAGTTGTCAATTGATTTCCTTTAGATAGAGCCAAGTTCGTCTCGGCCAAGCTCAGCCGAAATCGCAGCGGCTTCAAGCTCCAGAAAAATGATTCAGTTTCGCTTATGCCTTGACGTTTGCAAGCTCGATCAAACTTCTTCAGTGTAAGTGTGTGTGTGTCCTTTGTTTTTGTGAGAGATCGTCAATTTGAGTTTGGATATGTGCCTCGATTGTGTCTCGGTGGGTTCCACATGCAGTCCTATGCTGGTCAGGCGTGAGCCAAGCCAACCGCCAGAGCGCAGAAGCGTTGTGTCACGGTGAGCAAAAAGGAGTTGAACCATGGTTCTAGGTCTCAGGGAGGAGATGACATAGAAAATCATAGAATTCTGGAGATGTAAGTGAGCTGCGTTTTAAACCTCCGTGTTTATGTTTAGTATTGGGATCCCTTGTAAGGGCCTGTGGCGTAAGCAAAACACTGGTGCGCGTAAGCTTGCGTAAGCATTTTTTACCAATATTGCTGGCGTAAGGATGGCGTAAGCTCATTTTCAACAGTTTTAATATGAGGTTTTAAGTAGTGGTATGTATGATGCATCCTAACCTGACATGACCGGACGGGTTTTTGATTTTCCTGGGGCCACGGTAGCCCTCCTGTCTTTCAGTTCAACAGACCTGCATGGTTTTGGTATCAATTTCAGGTTGCCTGGCGTTATAGAGTATGGATGGTTTTCCCCATTTCTATCGATATGGACCATTTATAAACTGAAAAGATTCGCTGTTCAAGGCTTGCAGGGACCCACATGTACTTAAGAATTCAGCATATCAGAAAGGGGCAGATGCAGAGAGTGACAGGCAACCTATGCATAGGAATGCCTTTTCTTGAAGGAACATTGGTTATCTTGAGTGGGTGTTTTGCGTAGTTGTTTCCTGACATCCGCGTAAGGACCGCGTAAGCGTCGCGTAAGCTGCGCGTAAGCCAAAGATGCTTTTGCCAGTAGTTGCCCATGCCGCCCAAAGAGAAACTCTCCAGTCATGCCCGTGCTCTCAGCAAGGGTGCTGTCAAAAAACGTCGTCAGCTTCGTGCTCGGCGAGCTTCTGCATGGTGGTACTTCTTCATCATCTTCTTCCACGTCTTCATCGTCCACTGCTTGATTTTGCCAATCACTGCTTCGATTCTTGCATGTAAAAGTTGCTGCGCGTAAGTCGAAACTGTGGTGAGGTGACGTGCTAAAAATTGTCCGCGTAAGGTCTGCGTAAGGTACTATAACGTGCGTAAGTAAAACTTGTGCGCGCGTAAGCAATGCGTAAGCAGCAGCGTAAGCTTTTCCTTGTTTGGTGCCGCCATGCAAGACATTTAAAACACAGCTCAAGTGATGCAAGAGTCACAATTCTAGATAGTACTTAGATATACAGATATATATATATATATACAGTATTCTTATTATATTAATTATTATATATATATGATTATATTATATGAAGTACTTGTACTTAGTTTCTTCATTTTTTTGAGAGGAACACTTCAGAAAATCCTGGGAGTGTGCAAGGTCCTGGTGCCTGGTGCAGCCAATTTGGCTCGAAACCCAATTCCACATCGGCCGCTGTGCCCGCTTCCTGTGTCCTCCCAACATGGAACAAAGGATGGAGACATCATCTGCAAGGCTGGTAAAAGATGGGAAAAAAACATGAGAAAAAACCTGAACAAAACATTGAATCTGTTCATATTCTGTTTATATTCTGTTTGCACTGTTAATGATGGTTAAATCCCAATACAACAGCTTAAGTCACAACGGCAGGACCTACGAACAATTGTCGGCACAGATGTTGGGCATTGAGAACCTGATGACGCAGATGGTTGGACAGGTGGTGGGCCGAGTCAACCTTCAGGGTACGAGTCTCTCTCACAGAATATCATGAAAATATCTTGAATCGCGTCCAAAACATTTGCAAGCATTCTGAGTACATGGGGTTCCAAAGTGCCAGACTAGATTGGGTCGTTTTTAAGGAGAGTGTGAACTTTAGCATGGGTATGAATCATCAGTGTGAACAAATGGCTCATGACCTGTCGAGCAGTTGGGATTCAATAAAAATGCCATTGTTCAATCCTCAATCGTCAAGTAGTAATTAAACAATAATAAGCAACCGTTTGGGATTCACCTGTATCATTTCATTTCTAGTCACTTCCGACATTCTCTCACTACATCATCTACATCCTGACTCACTCAGGGATTATCGTTTTGATCCCGTTGGTCCCGTTGGCTCAGGTGACCACGACATTGCGGATCCTTTGGCAATAATTTCAATATGTCAATATCAATATATATATATATGCGTGCGTGCGTGCTGCGGTTATGTTTACATATAATTTTATATATATATATAATTCTGAATAGTATGTCCAAACATGTCAAAAAAGGATTCCAGAGTCTTTAGACTCGCAAAGGAAACAAAGGCAATGCCTCGCATGTCAAAACATGATGCCTGGGTAGCTGCTGTAATTTTTCAAGGGGAAACTGCAGTCATAAGTTTGACTGGATGAAATGAAGGTTGTTGTGCATGGCTACCAAGCCTTCAAGTGTTGAAGATAGCAGTGAGAATCATGGAGAAAAGGACAAAAAAAATCAGATGTGACGCTCTTGCTCTTGATTGTTCCTTGAAGTCAGCAAACTGATTGTGGCTGCAAAATGCGCATCAAAATGGTACAGTACGGTAAAAAGTTTAGCATTGGAATTATTAGATGCACTGATGATGGCACAGGGTTTTTCATTGACAGGCTCTTCCTGTGGTGTTTATCACAAAAACACGCAGGGCCTTCTGCGGGTGATCCAGACATGAAAGATGATGGAAAGCAAAACAGAAGTGTCATCAAACGTGCCAAGATGAGTCACGCTCCATATGATGTTGGAGTGATGCTGGATTTGTTTTAAATGTTTTTTGTCTCTATTTTCTTTCTCAATGGATCTCCTGAGACTTTGAACATCTTTGAACCCATTCAGGAAGGAGATCCGCGCAGTGGAAGACCGACTCAGTCGCCAAATTCAATCTGATCGGAAGGAGGAGGCTGGATATAATGGCGCCAACCAATTGATACCAGTTTTAGCCAGCACACCAATTTGCCAATCATCAATGGTTTCTACTCCCCATCTGAGGCTTCTCCTACTGTATGTTGTTCTGTACATGTTTCACTTTAACCAATTTTGATTTCTGGGAATGAATGGGATCAAGGTCGAGTTTACCATGTACAACGTACCAATCTCGAGCTGGACAACAGATTTGGTTCTCATTTACTGCAAGAGTCCGGCAACACTTTGAATGGCCACTGGCAGCGCGTCGTTGATCTAGGCGGCCGAGTTGCACAAAGTGAAAGCGAATTTGACGAAACAGATCTCCGAAGATGTGGCAGCAGCTGAGGCAATGATAGACCGATATTGCTAGAGAGAAACTCTAGCGACATGGCAGAGTTTGGTATGAATATGTATGAAATTGTATCAATAATTTATAATTATTATATAAATGGTTGTGGTTGATGTTGTTCCGCCCTCTTCGATATTGATGTTGTCGATCAGAATCCAGCCTTTCGAAAAAAGACCATGGTCCATGACAATGATCCTCACTGACCCGTGCCTTGCAGGAACGCATTTATCGCCGCATGGAGTCTGAGCGTATGAAGCACAAGGCTGAACCCCACCCCTGTTCTGCGGAAGCACTCAACAGCACTTCCCTCCCAAGAAAACGGGAAGATCAGAAGGTAGAATGAAGACTGAATGAACTGGATCGTTAGATCATTTTCTAGGACCAAGAGCTGATTGTTTTCCATTTCTGTTTGCAGCCTGGATATGTGGCATTGATTCGCACTGACGCAGGAAATGATTGCAGAGCTGCGACGTGAGACAAGTTCCCAGATCGCAGCAGGGAGCTCAGTTGCGCGGAGGGGAATGCGGCATCGGCAGGCCACACTGCCACACTGGTTCAAAATGTGTCAGACTTTCAGATTTTTTCCGGATTTGTTTCTCCGTGTTTTTAAAAAACTATTAAAGAAAAGAAAAACAACATGAACATTATGTTTAAAAAAAGTCAGCTGCTTAGGCAAAAAGCTGACGTGTTGACATCGCATCACGTGGATTACACTACGTGTATATATATATATTATATATGTATATGACTATGCCTAAGTTTCCGGGCAGTCCTCTCTTTACGACCACGACTTCAAATATACTCCCTGCAATCACCCCTTGCCCTTCACTCTTCTTCTCTATGTTTCTTCCATCCTGCCCTTCACATTTCCTGGCCTATTTGGGGACGACGGAGTGTGACTCAGAGCCACAACTGCTGCTAGTGTATGTGGGTGTCCATCTAAAGGTCCTTGCAAAGAGTTATTACGAAGACCGTTCATATCATGTCGTGTCGAACTCTCGCAAATGTGTCTCCAGTTCGCCGAAGTAACATTTGTTTCGCGATTTGTTTTCGAAAATTAGTGTTATGAATCATCATCATGATACACGAACAAACCTGCTGAAGTTCTGCAAAGAAGTGGGCAGAAGTGAAAGTGCAAAACCAAAGCCATCGCAAGCCCGATAGGCAATTATCTATCGCAAGAAGGGATTCTGTATTGCCACCTGCATGTGTTCAAGGCAACCATAAATCTGTGAAAAAACTGCAAGTAAGTGATTGAGTGTCCCTGACAGACATTGTTGCCTAATATTTCTATCATAATCATAATATAATTCTATATATATAATATATATATATGTAGATTTGATATATTTTATATAATTGTTGTATATTATTAGTATGTACATATATATATATACATATTATGGTATCAAATAGTGATGCGTGGTCATCACCATGTAGCAGATGTGATACTTTGTGTATATTCAGTGCATATCACACTGCCATTGCCTGAGGCCCAGCAGGACACTGCTTCTTTCACCACACAACGAGTGGCACCTTGGTTGGTGTTCCAGCTCTGGAAATAGAGACTTCGTTGGAACAGGATGAACATGGATCTTGCATGATGTTGATTGATAATTGGACGACGTGGATGGGTGTTATGTGATTTGATGATTGATTGATAATTTGCTCAAATCAGCGATGAATCTTGCCAATTTATCTCCATGTTCTTCATGAGTGAGGTGCCAAAAGAGACCGAAGAGATGGCTGCATTGCGCGCTGCCATGGAGGACATTCGCACAGTGGCCGAGAATTCAAAGAAGGACGGGGCGACGGGGCCAGGGCTTGAACTGCCTGCAACATGAAGCAACCATCGGCAACCATCATTCCAGTTTGACCAGCTTGACACAAGATGTTCATATCGATTCATGCCTTTAGTCTTGGCCCGGCTTTGGCAGCGACGATTTGGGCATGGCTTGGCGGTCCGCATGTTCTTTTGAGTTCTTTTGTAGAGGTTTGCAATATTTTGCAATCAGTAATTCACAGACTATTTGCATACATTTTCCAACATGTATCTAACATCATGTTCTCTTTGCAAAAAGTCAAGCTGTTGGCAGCACCCGGTTTGGTCAGGATGTGAAACGCCTGGCTCAAGACCTGGCGGATCAAAAACATGTTTGCGACACTTGATCCAAAGATATCCAAAGATTCAAGGATTGAAAATGATTGATGACTCTTGATGTAGACTGATACGGTCAGATCAGGATTGAACTGTGGATGAAGATGGAAGATATTGAAGCATCTAGAATTTGTTTGACAAAAACTTAAATATATGTTCAGAGACAGGTTGGAAATTGTGAAAAGGTGTATACTCCCATGGTAACTTGGAGATTTGTCCAGAGTACAACATGCTGGGGAGGGTTCTCGGTATGATGCAATAATGCTTAAAAAGTTGACATCAGTTTCGAATAACGCTCATGTCCACTTGCATACAACGTTAGAGATTGGGTGGGTTTGGAGTGGAGTTGGGGAACAAAGACCCCAGAGACAAACTCCCGAATGGAAAAGTTTGGGATTGGGTCGATCAATGGCAGTGGCGTCACAATCGCCTTGTGGCAAATGTGCAGCAAAATTGCACGACGCCGCTAACAACGACGATAGGTTTTACCAAGCACTGCTACAAAATTCCAGTGGAATGGCCCCAGAACACTTTGATGGCCAAAGCTGAAGCTGCCTCTCCAAGCAACTAAACCGTACTCGTACCAGTGATAGATATATATGTGAGTAGCATGAGTAGCGAGTAGGCAATCATATTGCGGATTAAAGTCTTGCAAGGGTTTGCAATGAACTTGGTTCTCGCACTGCTGCACATATGGAGCATCCCATCCGAAATTATTCCGATGTGGATGTTACATCTAGGAATAATTTTCCAGAATAATTTCCTTGGGAATAATTTTTAGGCACTATGGGCAAAGTGTAGGTGGCAAGACATTGGAATAATTTTGGTTAAAAGAGACAACATGATGTGGATAGACATTGGAATAATTTTGGTTACCGATGTGGACAGACATTGGAATAATTTTGGTTAACAATGTGGATAGACATTGGAATAATTTTGGTCAAAAGAAACAACAAGATGTGGATAGACATTGGAATACTTTTGATATGTAGCCTTTCAAAATGCGTGAAATTATGTGTTATAACATATCATCAAACGGTTCAAATGTTGGAACGAACTATATAGGTTTAATCTGTGATGTATCTTGCATAATGTGTAAATAACTAAATCTTCTTTTTCTAGCTTGACCAAGAAAGATCGAGAAACTTTAAAACCTAATTTAACAAGTGACCTGAGGAACCGTTTCTTGACGCCAAGAAACCAATCTCAAGGTCACTTGTAAAAATTGGGTTTGAAAATTTGAAATCCTCTTGACTTTTGCTGGCAAAATGACTGAAGTCGTTTTGAGGGATTTTGCATGAGTAATAAAGTGAAAATGCATTGATCACCAACCTTCTTCCCCCAAAATTCTATCTCCGAAACCACCCGTATCCTCACCTGCACGCGTGTAAATATATTCTTGCTGTCAACATATGTTTGGCACCCCTGTTGTATATAGGTTTAACCTGTAACTTAGATAGCTTGTGACTAGCCACATATTTTTCTGGGCTCAAGGAATGTCAAGGAATGTCAAGGAATACAGGATGTTGTGTTGATGTATTGTCAATGATTTTCAATTCAGCATGCAGTGATCCTCAGCCCTTTCCCACCAATATTCTACCTCCGAAACCACCCGCATCCTCCACCTGCGGGCGTCAAGATTACTCCTGGTGTCAACATACCCCTAGGACCCGTGCTTTATAGAGGTGTAGCCTGTAAAGTAGCTTGCGCAGTCTGCACATAGCATTTGTGTATTTCTGGCCTCAAGGAATATCAAGCAATCAAAGAGATCATTCTGATGCATTTTGAGCTTCAGTCGTGAATGCAATTAATGATCACCAACCCTCTTCCACCAATCCATATCCGACAGCGCCCGCATCCTCCAACTGCGGGCGTCGAAATATATTCCTGGTGTCAACGCATGTCTGGCACCCCTGTTTTGTATAAGTTTAAACCTGTAGCTTACATAGTCTGTGACTAGCTACGGCTTCTTTTTTTGGAAGTCAAGGAATGAAGGATGTCGTTCTGATGCGTTTTGAATGAATTTCAAGTCAACTTACAATGATCATAAGCCCTCTTCCACCAATATTCTACCTCCGAAACCACCGGCGTCCTTTACCTGCACGCGTCAAAATTATTCCTTGTGTCAGGACATGTCTGGCACCCCTGTTTGTTTAGGCTTGAATACGCTCTGCAACTCTTTCCAGAATTAGCGGTACCAAGGACCCCGGGTTCCGGACATGATAATTTAGACGCGTATAGGTGGAGGATGCTGATTGCTTCGAAGATCGAATATTGGTGGAAAAAGGGTGATGACCAATTGATTTCTATTGATTTTCATTTCCTTACTCGTTCAAATTTATGCAAAAGTATTTTGCATTACGTTCCCTGTTGAATCTGCATCAAAGAAGGTTAAACGATGTTAAACACACGTCTCGAAACTTTTCTGCACATCCTGTAAGCCAGAAAAATGGAGGGGCTTTAGCTAGTTGCAGACAGAGCAGGCCACTTTGCAGGTTAAACCTCTACAGCACAGGGGTGCCAGACATGTGTTGACACCAGGAATAATTTTGACGCGTGCAGGTGGTGGAGGATGCTGGTGGTTTCGGAAGTAGAATATTGATGCCTTTGCAGGTTAACCCTCTACAAAATACGGGTGGCAGCCATGTGTTGACACCAGGAATAATTTAGATGCGTGCAGGTGGAGGATGCTGATGGTTTTGGAGATCGAATATTGATGGAAAAGGGTTGGAGATCAATTCATTTTTATTTCATAACTCGTTCAAACTTATGGAAAAGCATCTTACATTACTTTCCCTGGTGAATTCTGCATCAAAGAATGTTAAACGATGTTAAACACACGTCTCGATACCTTTCTGCACATACTGTAAACAAGAAAAAAGGAGGGTCTTCAGCTAGTTACAGACAGAGCAGGCCACTTTGCAGGTTAAACCTCTACAGCACAGGGGTGCCAGACATGTGTTGACACCAGGAATAATTTTGACGCGTCCAGGTGGAGGAGGATGCTGGTGGTTTCGGAAGTAGAATATTGATGCCTTTGCAGGTTAACCCTCTACAAAATACGGGTGGCAGACATGTGTTGACACCAGGAATAATTTAGATGCGTGCAGGTGGAGGATGCTGATGGTTTTTGGAGATCGAATATTGGTGGAAAAGGGTTGGAGATCAATTCATTCTTATTTCATAACTCGTTCAAACTTATGGAAAAGTATCTTACATTACTTTCCCTGTTGAATTCTGCATCAAAGAATGTTAAACGATGTTAAACACACGTCTCGATACCTTTCTGCACATACTGTAAACAAGAAAAAAGGATGGTCTTTAGTCTTTAGCTAGTTACAGACAGAGCAGGCCGCTTTGCAGGTTAGACCTCTACAGCACAGGGGTGCCAGACATGTGTTGACACCAGGAATAATTTTGACGCGTGCAGGTGGAGGAGGATGCTGGTGGTTTCGGAAGTAGAATATTGATGCCTTTGCAGGTTAACCCTCTACAAAATACGGGTGGCAGACATGTGTTGACACCAGGAATAATTTAGATGCGTGCAGGTGGAGGATGCTGATGGTTTTTGGAGATCGAATATTGGTGGAAAGGGTTGGAGATCAATTCATTTTTATTTCATAACTCGTTCAAACTTATGGAAAAGCATCTTACATTACTTTCCCTGTTGAATTCTGCATCAAAGAAGGTTAAACGATGTTAAACACACATCTCGAAACTTTTCTGCACATCCTGTAAGCCAGAAAAATGGAGGGGCTTTAGTCTTTAGCTAGTTACAGACAGAGCAGGCCACTTTGCAGGTTAAACCTCTACAGCACAGGGGTGCCAGACATGTGTTGACACCAGGAATAATTTTGACGCGTCCAGGTGGAGGAGGATGCTGGTGGTTTCGGAAGTAGAATATTGATGCCTTTGCAGGTTAACCCTCTACAAAATACGGGTGGCAGACATGTGTTGACACCAGGAATAATTTAGATGCGTGCAGGTGGAGGATGCTGATGGTTTTTGGAGATCGAATATTGGTGGAAAAGGGTTGGAGATCAATTCATTCTTATTTCATAATTCGTTCAAACTTATGGAAAAGTATCTTACATTGCTTTCCCTGTTGAATTCTGCATCAAAGAATGTTAAACGATGTTAAACACACGTCTCGATACCTTTCTGCACATACTGTAAACAAGAAAAAAGGATGGTCTTTAGTCTTTAGCTAGTTACAGACAGAGCAGGCCACTTTGCAGGTTAGACCTCTACAGCACAGGGGTGCCAGACATGTGTTGACACCAGGAATAATTTTGACGCGTGCAGGTGGAGGAGGATGCTGGTGGTTTCGGAAGTAGAATATTGATGGACAAGGCTTGATGATCAGCCCATTTTCAGCGCATTGCTCTTTGCCATGTGTGGAAAAGCCTCTTGCATTACTTTCCCTGTGTGCTTCTGCATTCAACAATGTTGGATGCATAGCTCGAGACCTTTCTGCAGATCTTTTCGGCGGTAGATTCTGGGTGGAAGAGGGCTGATGATCATTGCATTGTCGTTTGAAAATCGGTGAAAAAACGTGAGCAAACATCTTGGGCTGTTGAATTCCGCGTTAAACAGTGTTAAGCAATGTTAAACACATGGCTCGAGACCTTTTTGCACATCCTTGAAACCAGGCAGAGAGGGCTTGAGCAATTTACAAACTGCGCAAGCGACTCTGCAGGCTACACCCCTGTAAAGCACGGGTCCTAGAGGTATGTTGACACCAGGAGTAATCTTGACACCCGCAGGTGGAGGATGCGGGTGGTTTCGGAGGTAGAATATTGGTGGGAAAGGGCTGAGGATCACTGCATGTTGAATTGAAAATCATTGACAGTACATCAACACAACATCCTGTATTCCTTGACATTCCTTGAGCCCAGAAAAATATGTTACAGGTTAAACCTATATACAACAGGGGTGCCAAACATATGTTGACAGCAAGAATATATTTACACGCGTGCAGGTGAGGATACGGGTGGTTTCGGAGATAGAATTTTGGGGGAAGAAGGTTGGTGATCAATGCATTTTCGCTTTCTTACTCATGCAAAATCCCTCAAAACGACTTCCGTCATTTTGCCAGCAAAAGTCAAGAGGATTTCAAATTTTCAAACCCAATTTTTACAAGTGACCTTGAGATTGGTTTCTTGGCGTCAAGAAACGGTTCCTCAGGTCACTTGCTAAATTAGGTTTTAAAGTTTCTCGATCTTTCTTGGTCAAGCTAGAAATAGAAGTTGTAGGATTGTACAAGATACATCACGGGTTCAAGTTACAAAAGACAAGATGCCGTTCAGAAATTCGCAATAGGACAAAATGACGCGAGAACGAGTGGGACACCAGGTGGCCTAACAATTAGATACAACTTTTGGAACTGGTTCAGATTTTTTTCGCGAAACGGAGCCTGAGACTGCGACAAGCATTTTGCATTCCAACTGATCACACAAGATTCGAATGTTTAGATGGTTTTTGGGTCGAATGTTTACATGGTTTTTAGATCATACTTGAACAAACCTGGAGATGAAATCTGCATTTTAAAAAACCAAATTATTCTGGATGTGGATCACCTCAGAATAATAATGGCTCCAGTGTAGGTCATAGACACTGGGATAATAAAAAAAATATTCCAGTGTGACACCCACATGCCCACACCAGAAGGCATGGTCCATCTGCACATGCTGAGGACGGTATTCAAATTTCAATTCAAAATGTGGCTTGGCTGTTGCTTTCGCAGTGCCAGCAATGGGAGATGGAATGATAGTCGAATGAACAGATATTTGATGGTATGGTTGTGACCCAAAGCACAATTGTCGATATGTCATTAGAGCATTGCAGTGATCAGCATAGGGAAAACACATGTAAACACTATGCCACTAAGCCAAAGGAAATAAAGGAAGTCTGAGGGCTTGCAAGGTCCAGCAACATCCAGCAACATCCAAGTTACTAGTACTCTTCAACTCCAAGGTCCTGAACATCACTTGACCACACCATGCAGTGACTGATTCCTGGACTCGTTTCCTGACGCTGAGTTGCCAAAGCACAACGAAGAGATGTTGGCCTTGAAGTTGGCTGTGGAAAAAGCTGAAAACATGGCTCAGCAGGCAAAGAAGGTGCTCCTGACCTTGGATTCAGAGCCGTGTTTGGTGCTCCTAAGAATCAAAAAATATAAAGAAAATCCACTAAGAGCTGCAAGCTTATGGGCGTTCAGGCGTTCAACGGCGTTCAAGGGTTCAAGAAAATGTGCCAGCCACACACCAAGCCAAATTCCCTCATTCAATTTTTGTCGCACCAAGAGAGGCTTGCAGGTTGGAGACATCTTGGGACAATGGTTACTCAATGTTACTCACACCAAGCCTTGCTGTGCCAGTTGGCAGAGAAGGATGTCACCCTGGGCATGGAATCTCAGAGGATCCTGGCAAGCACCGTGAGGAACTCAGTAATTATCCTGTCCCCTAACACACAGTAGATGGATTCATGCACATCTAGATTCTTAGATACATCTAGATAATTCATTGATAATTCTAGATACATCTAGATACATGGATGCTCGCATCAGTGAAGCTTATGGTCTCGAGGTGATGGACGATTGTTTGAGTGCTGACATTGTGAACTGCACCAAGGTGGGTGACATGGACGCCGACATTCGTGCAGATATGAGGCGTCAAATGGCAAAGGCCACCGGATGCCACCGGCGAAGCAGCCAGTTCCCCCACGGACTTGTGGCACTGGATGCCACTGGTACCTTACTGAATTTTACTGGCACTTCAACCTTGGTTTTATCATGCTTTATCAAAGATTTGCTGCAAGATTTGGAATTCAAACAAACACATGTTGGCATCCATCAGCACACATTATTTTTGCATGTTTTTGCCGGACTCTGTGTTGTTCTGCTTGAGAGGTTTCGCATTTCATGCTATGCAAAATCGTCCGCCTTGTCGCAGGTTCAGTCCGATATGATGCTGGAGATGAACAAGCGCCTAGAGGACATGGTAGCGCGGTAGCGGGGAGTTATGGGAGATTGGGATGGACAAACAAGGAACACCATGGAACACCTGGCCCAGGACACCCAGCAAATAAGAGAACTCGAGGCCGCCAAAAATGGGGAGGGTTGGAAGAATGAAAGGTGTGGAGAATGTGGAGAATGTGGAGAGATGTGAAGAAGTTCAGCAAGTTCAGCAAGCTTGGGGTAGATGTTTTTAGCATGCTCAAGCGGAGCCATGGAAGAAATAGATAGGAAAAAAAATGGAAAAATGAAGAGACACAGCAACTTCTCCATCGTCAATCATTTGGCCCAGCTCCGTGGCAATCCAAGTAGCAGTCCTTTACCCACAACTGGGATTTGCGCAGGTTAGCCAGCGTGGAATCACTAACATCGTTGCTTGTCGGCTCAGTGATTCTGAATCGGAGATGCATTTGATTTGATTCCCATTAAGGCCTCGGATGGATTTTGCTGTTGGAGTTCAAAGTTGGAGAGTTCAGCATAAACAGGTCGAGACTGATTTCTACTACACATTGACATGAGGTGTAGGACCTTGTAGGAGTTGTGGGAAACCGTGCAAAAACAAATTGAGACCGCACAAATTTTGGGTACCCGTTGGCTTGCCACTTGTCAGCGTACCAACTTGTGCTCCGATTGTGCTCTTGTGAGTTCCTTCCTGACGTGAGTTCTACTGCATGCACAAGCAGGCATGCATCATTCAGCATGAATCTGTTTAATATGATTGATTAATTCCCCAAATAGCCAAAATATCCTGCATATTCCTGCATGTTTGATATGTTTGGGCCAATGTTTGGGCCAATGTTTGGGATTCTTTAGGAGGACTCTTCAAGACATTTCAAATTGGTCAAAGCTCCAACGACTGTGGCACTATGGTCCAAGGACTCGCTGGAATCCTTGGAGAAGAAACTGAAGAAGTTGGAAGATGCGAATTTGGAGTTGCGACTTGCAAAGTCCGGGCGCCAAGATGATCCAAGATGATCCAAGATGGGTGCTGAATGGTGATGAATGGGTGGAGAGAATCCTGAAGTCATGGCAGCTAGGACCTTAGGACATGTTTGAGCCACCAGTTTCTCCAGTTTGTGGCTTGAGCTGGTTGGCTTGAGCCAAACCTGCGCTGAAGAAGAGGTAGATACAGATAGAGGTCGAACATATGAGTGATTGACGTCATTTGACGTCCCGTCCTTAATCATTCCATGTTTTTGCATTGCCTGAAATTAAAGGGCAACGGCTCATTGGCATCCTTTTACAAATGCCAGATCATTTCAACAATTGGGCTTCAATAGTTGTAACATGTTGTAACGGGATCGTTTGTTCAAACATGTTGAAACAATGTTTTCGTATGCCTGTGTGAGTCGGTGTTTTGTGTGACTACAAGAGATTGCATTTCCTCCATGCTGTAAGACCCATGGTAATGCAGACTCCCTTGTTTGCAACGTTTGTGCATCAAAAAGAGAGCCTGCGTTCATAAAATTTTACAACCTGGCGCACTACTGTACATTTCTTTGAAAGCATTTGCACAGTGCATGAGTGCACCTGCTATACGCATCATGTGTTTTTGGCTAATGCAAAGTGTGCGTCCAAGGTTGAGCACGGAGTCAGTTGTGCATCACTTAGGTTGGAGGGAGTTGCCCAACGAGCAGCAAACTACAGCGATGCAGGTTGGGCACTGCAAAGTGGTTGATGGCTCAAGTTGATGTTACTAGTAGGTACGAAAAGTCAGGCCAATATGAACAACAAAGTTGTGCACCAGGGGACATAACTTTCGAGGTTATCTCCAGCTGAGAGTTTGATACAACCTGTGAGTGACATGCAAAATCGCGATGAGACTGCAGAACAGCAGCAGCCAAAATCACAGGCACATCAGACACTCCCCTAGCAGTTTCCAGGGTGGAACAAAGCCTGGCTAGGAAAAGTTACCATTTTCACTAGTTTCATATAGTTTCATTCGTGGTTTCATTATTTCAATAGCCTTGAAGATAACAATGGACATATATAGTAAATCAGTTGCATCAGGATAGCCAGCTGTCGAATCGTGTCTCGGGACGCCCAGGTGATGCTACCCTCTTCACCACGTCTCGGCGTCCCTTGGGCATCTCGGCAGCGGTGAACATGTCCACTTTGTCAATGTCAGAGTGTCAAGTTCAACGCTTCCACGTAGCAATACGTAACATGTCGGTTTTATGTGAGCCACGTTTTTTTTCCCGAGAGCGCCTGCGAAGGGTTCTTCGTAATAAAGCAGCCGTTATACTACATCTTCACACCTTCACATCTGCTGATCTACATCTTCACACCCTCACATCTGCTGATCTACATCTTCACACCCTCACATCTGCTGATCTACATCTTCACACCTTCACATCTGCTGATCTACATCTTCACAGCCTCACATCTGCTGATCTACATCTTCACACCGTCACATCTGCTGATCTACATCTTCACACCCTCACATCTGCTGATCTACATCTTCACACCCTCACACCTGCAGATCTACATCTTCACACCCTCACATCTGCTGATCTACATCTTCACACCCTCACATCTGCTGATCTACATCTTCACACCCTTACATCTGCTGATCTACATCTTCACACCCTTACATCTGCTGATCTACATCTTCACACCCTCACATCTGCAGATCTACATCTTCACACCTTCACATCTGCGGATCTACATCTTCACACCCTCACACCTGCTGATCTACATCTGCACACCCTCACACCTGCTGATCTACATCTTCACACCCTTACATCTGCTGATCTACATCTTCACACCCTCACATCTGCAGATCTACATCTTCACACC